ATTTGATTAATAACATCAAAATGTTTAATTATTTAAATTCAAAAAACGCTAATAAAGTAAATTTGACTCTCTAAAAGGGCGTTTTTGTGTGTAATACACACATCATTTAATGTCTGTCGTAACTAGCATAGTTGATGATTACAGTAAAACTATATTCATACATATTTACAGTTATAAATGTAGAACTATTTGAGATGGACAATTATATTTATTGGAATAAAAGTAAAATTGAAATTTATATTAATAATATTAATTATATTTAATCAAATATAAACCAAAAGGTATTAAGGTATTATAAAAGGTTTATATTATTTTACAACATGATACGATTGCAGTTATCTTCATACTTATTTTATTTAAATATATTTTAGAAGTCACGGATTTTCCAGGAATTATTTTAATTGAAAATGATAAAATCCCTTTTCAATACAAATATATTTGGGTAGAAATACAAGCATTGTAAAGGCAAAAATGCTTTGAAAATTTAATTTTTAGAATTAGAATTGATACGATTTGGGTTGATCGTCCACCTTTCTTAATCATTCATTTCCGTTTTTACCAATAGGCAAATCAACTATGAATAAAAATATTTGTCGAATACCAGCTGTTGACTGTCGATTCGTTTACACATAGCTACCTAGAAATTTAATATGGTTAATTTTCTTTTTCTTTAGTCAAATAGATCCTAAACCTACGCTTGAGAAAGTGAAATAAATAAAAAGTTTACACCCCTGTTGGGGGTGCAACATGTGATTTGGCTAAATGTGATCGTTACAGAGGAAAGGGTTTATGATGATTTTTTTTAGATTGTATATTAATAGTGTACTTTAACTAGAAAATATTCCTCGTAAATTTGATAGTAATTCGTCTATTGTAAAAAATGTATAGAGCGTCGTTAAGTTGGAAAATATATAAGACTTTGGGCGTTTTTTCGTTTTGGGAAGAAAAAGGGTAATTTTTTTTTAAACACATTTCCCAAAAATGTTTCTTTCAGGTACGAATTCATAGACAGACTACTTGAAGGATTCGGTACAGCGCTTTCGAAGATATCGTCCAGACACAACAAAAAACATATATATATATTACTGTATAGACAATTTATCTTCTCAGCCACACACATTTTTCAAAGCTGGAAAATAAAAATTAATCATTTCATATAAAGTTCAAGGTTATTTTTAGGTTCATAATTTTACATTATACCTACATCGATTACAGAAATACAATTATAATATAATAATAAATTACAAAAATAGAGGAACATAAATGCACTCGGTGTTTTGCAGTATTAGTGTCTATAAAATCACACTGGTAAAAATTAAATTATTTTTTTTTTATTATTTGAACTTTCGAGGGTACGCTCTAGGAATAATTTGAACGAGTAAACGCAGTAAGAAGTAACTGTTTTTGAATTTTGTTTACTGAACGATTGGCCACTTATCTTATGGTCCATCTATCTAAATCGTATGGTGTACAAAAAGACGTGTTACAGTTTTTATTTATAAACTCCTCGTGTTATCGACATTAAACAAGTATTAATTGAAACTTTTTTTGTGCCCAATAAGTCCTTTAAAAATAAATGATGAAAAATCAGACTCGACGATTTGCTTCTACCCTCTTTGTTTAGGCGGGTACACTACTTGTGCGCTTTTCCGTTTATTTGTTATGCCTGGAAGTATACAACAAAAAAATATACTCACAGGAATATAAATATATTGAACTACGATAAAGAGTATTCATACCGATTGAGTGGGTTTTGCATTGAAATACGTTTATCGGGCAAACACAATCGACCGTTTTCCGCGTTCGGAAAATGTATTTTCAATAGAAAATTAATTTCCATACATCACGACCCTATTGAAAAGTGAAAAGATTTACTACAGTCCGACAACAACTTAAACGTCCCACGTTTACAATATTTTTTTTTTTTTTATAAAAGTACTAAAAGAAATAATAAAAATCAAAAAAAAAATCAAACAACTGCCTGTGAAGTAGATATACGGTAATAATAATAAGCGGCGTTGTCTGAATACAGATTTTTCTTGGGCAATCGACGGCAACAGTAATATTTAATAATATTATCATTTCGATTTACCGCCGTTTGCACTGTGCGGGAGTGTGTAACTGCATGCAAGTCCAAAAGTTGTGCAAATGTTAAGTGTTACAACACTTGTGTGTAATCTAAACGGACCGCGGTCGTGTATTGTGTGTATGAATTATACATAATATACAGAGCGCGATACACTATTAATTAATTGTTCAACGACCGAGGACAAAATGCCAGATAGTTATCATCGGTAGACGCCACACCGGCCATGTTACCCATGCGATATTTTGACGGGCCGACAAATTAAAAAAAAAACCGTAAATGCTAAATAAAAAAGTTAATACCTTTTGTTGTGTATGTACTTAGCTGGCGTATGCGCGCATATATTGTTTTTTTTTTAAGTTTTAACGCACTTGTAAACGGTCTAACCGAATAAAAGACGGTTCAATATATTGTTGGCCGTAATAGATCAAAACGATTATGACCGGAGGCGATATTATATTATTGTACTATAAGAAAGGATTATAATATATTATATATTATCATAGTAACAGTGACGACCGCCGCGGTTTTTTTTTTTACAGCGTAAACGGTTTGCCTATAATATTATGCGGTTGTCGTTTGAACCGACATTGACTATTACAACCGCTTAGTTCACGACCGGAACCGAACCTACGCCGAAAGTACGGTCTTGTGTACATATTATTGTTGTTATAATATTATACGGATTTCCGCAACGACAGTGGTTACTATATTATAGTGTTAGAGCAGTGGCTGCTGCTGCTGTCGTTGTGGTTAGTGTTATTGTTATTGTCGATGCCGGGGGGGGGGGGGAGATGTTGCTTAAATAAAATTTACGGTAGTCGTGATTTTCGAACGTCGCCTTTGTCGACTCTTGGCATTGTACCTAAATGGTTGACGAGTGATAACCAGCCATCAGGGCACGGCCGTTAACGGTATACATAATAATATGTTATGACTTATATAATGTTTAACGCTCGAACGTATTAAAACACATAAGAATAGCGTTTTGCGTTTAACGCCGTTATTTACTGCTCTGCGAAAACAGACTTAACGGATTAATTTTTACGACACTTCTTTGTGTCAAATAATAATAATAATAATAACTGTCGTCCGTTCGTTCAATAGGTTTCAATCTCTGTTTATTTATTTTTTTGTCAGATGAAAGAGACCTGACGGAATCCCCCCCCCCCCCGGGGGGCGCGTTTACCGAAATACACAGAGGGTGGTTATTGTTATTTTATTTTTACTGTTTTCCGGGTACCGACGAACCTCGATACATTACATACCTTTCTGTACTTATCTCGTATACAAAACACGGTCAAATAAGTCGTTTTAATCGGTATAATACTATATATATATATATATGTATATATACTTGGACCCACGGCAATCCGTCTTTCTCCATTCAGCAGATCGCCTCGGCCCGTCCACCGTGCACGACCCCATTGTCCCGACCGACACCCCCCCCTCTCCCCCGCCTTCCCCTGTCCACCCCCTCCGGCCTTGTCAAAGAGACCGGCACAAAAACCAGGTGGTCTTCGACGACGGCAGCTAAATGTGCCGTGAATGTCCGATAAACGGCGACAACGACGTTTTCCGTTTTAAACACCGCACTATAAATGGTACTTGTCTTATTCTATTTTTAATGCCCCCAAAGTTATCGACTTATAACCCTTTGTTTTTAAACGGTACCCTTCGTTTGTGCTCAGACGCATTATTATCATTGTGTAATCGAGTTCGCGTGTGCTATACTATTGTAACAATACAAATAAATGTTGTTAGATTGTTACAAAATTACCATTTTTGGATACTAGTAATACAATTACCATCAATGAACAAGAATACGAGTTTAGACGACTGCAACAGACTAGCCGTCATAAGTAATGTGTCTGTACTTTGAACACAACGGAAAAGCATAGAAAACTGATGAGCGTTATAATTTATATCCGCCACCAGCCGAGAACTCTGCCAAAACCGAAACATCAACACGCACTAATAGGAGTTTTGAAATAGTTAACAGACGAGAAAATAGAGCACAGTATAATACAGAATACTGTAATTCCAGAGAAACGTTATTTAAATAAGATAATGCAAATTGCAATGGATCAGGAAGGCATCGTTTCGTGGCAACGACTAATAACGCTGACACACCGCTAAGAAACACTAACAATTAATTACATACACATAGTTCGTGTATACCGCGTGGTACGTTTTACACATATTGTGTTCACTCTCGTCGGGGGAAAATTTTGCAATTGAAAAACAAAATAATATTATACAAGAAAGTTTTGATTACGTCGAGTTTGTAAGTAATTTGAAAGCACATAAGTGCGAAATCGTCTTAAACTTAAACGCGGAGCAACTATTTTATAATTATTTCATTATGGACAAACGTTTTCCATCGTCTAAAACTAAAGGTGTCCCGTTAAAATGTTGACAAGTTTAACCATGTTTTGTTAGAAACCTATTGTGAAAAACCAATATTGTAAAGCGATTAATGAAAACTAAAAATGAGCCTCTTATATTAATTAATTATTTTTTTTTTAGAAAATATGTTTCCAACACGACCTGGTTTAATTTGACAATATTTTTAGTGAAGCAGAATTTTATTTGTGCCTCGATTGGTGTACAAAAGTTTTAATTTTCATCATCGATATCCGCGAAACGTTAAAATTCGTTTGCGCCGAAATCGTTCATTTGTCAAAGTGCACTGCCGTCCCCTCTTGTTCTCGTTTTGCGTTTGACAAGCACCCATTGTTCTTAGTTAAGGACTTCCATCCATGGGTGGCCGTCGATCGGCGGTGACGAGGTGTACAACGGTGTCGGCGGTGGTGTTTGGGTGACCGGCCACCCGATAGCGCTACGAGGGGCCCGGCCCGAAGGCAGCACCACCGCCGGCATACGCGTACTGCTCGTCCGGCCTGTCCGTCAGTCGGTGCCTGTCGACCGTCGGATGCCGTCGTCGTTATTCGCTGTCGCCCGTACGCGCGGTGTGTTCTCTGTGTGCGCGTTGTTGCGTTGTACTAGGTATCGTAATACTGTGTTTATATTATTTGCCCAATAATATTTGCATACAATATATCGGGTATTCCACAAAAATAAATTGTTTACAGTGTCTTACGGTGTGCGTGCCGAGTGATAACTTTTAAACGTACCGAAGTGGATTTTCAAAGTTTTTAGCGTCGTTATAATTATTTCCTTCCGGGCGATGCGCCCCAGAAAAGGTTTCATCCGTCACCGCGGCAATTACGACCATGGCGGTGACGGTGGCGGCCGACACAGCGGCGCTGGCGGTGATTTCGCTTAAATCCTACGGCGACCGCAATGACCAACGGTGGTCGCGTATGGTTGGCGGCCGCGGTCGTTTTGTTTGCGGCCATCGCGGTGTCCGGCGACACTTGCCCGCTGGTGTGCACGTGCAAATGGAAAAGCGGCAAACAGAGCGTCGAGTGCAGTGACAAATCGTTGATCACCATACCGGAAGGAATCGACGGAGCCACGCAGGTTCTTGACATGTCGGGCAACAACCTGCAGATTCTTTCGGCCAACGCGTTCTACCGGGCCGGACTGCTCAACCTGCAGCGGGTGTACATGAGCGATTGCCGGATCGGGCAGATCGACGGCCGAGCGTTGCGTGGTCTCAAAAACGTTGTGGAAATCGACCTTTCCCGGAATATGCTTACTGCCGTGCCGTCGGCCACGCTCCAGGACGTTCCGTTGCTCCGAGAGCTGTCGCTGGCCGGTAATCCCATCCAAAAAATTGAGCCTCAAGCGTTTCGCAATTGTGTCGGCCTGGTCAGGTTGGACATGTCGGGCTGCGAACTCCGCACCGTGGCCGCCACCGCTTTTGTCGGTATCGAGAGGTTGGAAACGCTCAAGCTCGATAACAACCGGCTGACCGAACTGATGGCCGGTACGATAGAGTCGCTCAACAAAGTACACGGTGTCGAACTACACGAAAACCCGTGGCACTGTGACTGTAACATGAGACCGGTCAAAGTGTGGTTGACTAAAAACAACATACCCACTATCGTCGACCCGTCTTGCGCCACCGGCCCCGGCCGTGTGACGAACAGGACGTTTTCGTCGCTGCACGAAGACGATTTCGCGTGTCGGCCGCGTATCCAGCAAGACGATCCAACGGTCGAAGCGGCCACCGGTGACAACGCGTCCGTTACGTGTCGGGTACATTCGTCGCCCGCGGCCAAAGTGTCTTGGTACTGGAACGGTCGGCCGTTAGCCAATAACTCGGCGTTCGGCCCGTTCCAAAGAGTTTTCATGACCGACAGAGGATCGGGTCACAGTTCGCTGGTGTTGACCAACGTGCAGCCGTCCGATTCCGGGCTATTCCTGTGCGTGGCCGAGAACCGGGCTGGTCGGGCAGAAGCGAATTTCACGTTAGTCGTCACTAGACTGGGCGGACTGGCTTTCCTGGCCAACGGGCAGGTGGCCGGCCTCAGCGTGTTCTTGGTTTTTCTCATCGTCACCATACTGTTGGTCATCGTTTACCTTTTAGTACGCATCAAGAGACTGCCGCCGTCGGTGTCCACCGCTGACGGCAAACCCAGACAGCCGCTTACTACTGCGGCCACGGCCACGGCCAACGGTACCGCCGTCACGGTAATCAAACAGCAGCCATTGCCGCCGGTCGACACCATCGGACGACCCGCCGTCGTGCGCCAACCCGTGCCCACCGCGAGCGTTGCCGAATTGACCGCGACACTGTCCAGACGGCCGAAGCTCTCCGAACTGGCATTTACCACGGACCACTACGAATCCGGTTTTGGCGGTAACGTGCTGGACGCCAACGGCGGTCGGGCGATGCTCTACCGCAGTCAACCGTCCAACCCGGACCTGATAGCGGACGCCCCGTCGCAACAAGAACAACTACAACAGCAGTACCGTCAGCAGCAGTCGCTCAAGAAACAGAGGCCGAGGTCGGGCAGTGGCGAGTACCGGCGCACGGCCGACGACGATGGCCTGTATTCGCCGAGTTTTTGGACGTCGTCCGATTCTGCGTCCGCCGCTACGGCCGCGACGTGCAGCGACCGGACGCCGATCATCGAGAAGTCGCCGCCGCCACCACCACTGCCACGGGACGAACCGATGGTGTCGCCGACGTCCACGGTCGATCCAAAAGCCGCCAGTCTGAGGGTGTGGAAACACGGGGTCCAAGTGATGCCACCGTTGAGTGCACTCAAGCGAGCACTCAATAAAGGATCGCCGGACGAAGGATACCAAGAGGGATGCGGCACCGACGTGTGATCTCAATTGCGGTTTTAGTAAAATAAAAAAATAAGAAAAAAGTAAAACAGACTTAAATATTAATATTGTTTACCGTATTTTGTACCGTTTTAAGATTAGAATTTTATAATATGGCATACCTAACCTAACCGTTTTTTTTATTAATAATATTTTTTGGCAATTCACGCGCGTGCCGGCTGCATCAAACTATAAACGAATATTATTCAGGTTTGCAGGAATGAGTAGGTACTATACGTTCAGATCCGTAAGTTTACAACGTGGAGTCGATTGCCCTTTAAATAGTTTGAGCGATTTTCCCCAAAATGTTTTTTTTCGAGTCGAGCCGACGTCGTAAGGTCTACCGAAAACATTGAAAAGAATAGGAAAACAAATAGTTGTCTATAAAATATATATATTATCCTCGACCGGTCATCGACGACATCTCGAAACGGCTTTTATTCTTAACGACCCATAAGATGCCCGTCCTTGCTTTTTTTTTTTATCCTAAACAAACGCTCTACGTTGTAAAATCTATTTTCTCTTCGTCCCGAGCCGATCTTAAGCGATTCCTTTTTTCTTTTCTTTTTTTCCCTCTTGGAAACCGTCCAGAAGCTCACCGCCGGTAGTTCAGCGGTGAAATCAATTTTCGTTTGTGACTTTCGAGATAACGGTGCGGTTTCAAAGGCGTATAGTGTGTTGTAGTACTTTATACTTGTCGATATGGTGTGATACGTTGCCGGGACTCTCTGTGAAACGCCGTCCGTGCTCTACCGGATGGGGTGAGTTTTTCGGCACCCTTTGTGTGTATAAATACAGACACTCCTTTTTTTTTTTTTTGTCGACCGACCGTCCGGGAGAAGTGTACAGTGACTGTATACAGACACGACTGTACCACCGAAATAAACGAAAACGCAAAGGGATTGAGTACTTAACGCCGGATCTCTCTCTCTCTTTTGTTATCAGTGCACTCGGGTTGGAGAAAATGTTTTTTTCGTCACTGCCAAAAAAAAAACCACCGCGAGCGTTGTGACGAAGAATAGATATGGAAAACTCTCGGTTTTAAACCATCGTCGTTTATTTTTTCCTCAACCCTACACTTTATTTGCCCGGCTGATCAAAATATGGTGTCGGCCAGCATCTCTCATGTATTTTTAGTAGGTATTCGCCTGTTTTGTACCTCTGGTTTCTCAATTGCAACTGTACTTGGTCGATATTGTGTTCTTGATACCTTATCCAATTCTTTTGCGCGCCCACTACAATATTAATAGTACCTACCTACCTACCTATTTCCGTTTGATGTGGTCGCGCACACTTTTCCCTCTGGGCCGCCGTTTCGAAGACAATATTATGTCTCACCTTTGTCCCGAAAATGTAATACAACAATAATAATAACGGCAATCGCAATAATAACGTGTTCGCGTCATCCAACCCGTCGTCGGTTTGGGCACTGCGGGCGGCCTATAAAGTTTTCAAAACTCGAGTTTACAAAGCACAAAACCCCGGGGTCGCCAGACTGCTCGGTTTTTAAGGGCCGCGTTTTTGTCGTTTCGGTGCTGCGGTTTAAACTTTTATGCAAAACTTTAAGGACCTAACCGGAGACGTCGGCTAGAACGGTGTGCTGTTGAGAAATAGATGTCGATCAAATTAGTATTAACGTGATTTTTATCGGCGGAAAATAATTACCGACACAGTATTTTTAACGATAAAAAATTCCTACAGTGACCGTCTTCTTGCACTGCCGTAGATTCAGCGGCGCAACCTGTGGGGTGAGCCAAGGGTGTTAACCCCTGTTGGAACATTCCAAATACCTCTAGCAGTTAACGAAACGATCACTTCACACGAATCTGCAGAAAGGGCCTTTTTTAGCGTTAATTTATTTTTTTACATTTTTATTTAGCGTATGTAAATACATCAGTTACCCTTTACTACAAAACAAATATTTATATGCTAAACATACGGTAATTTATAAATTTATGTTTTTAGAAAAATCTATAAACATTGAAAAACAAAATAATAGGGTTTTAAAAAAAATTAATAAATGTTGTTTTTTTATTAAAAAGAAGGTGTTTAGATTTAAAAAAAGAAACATGCCGTTATTATTATTATTGTTTTTGTTGTTGATAGTTATTCAAAGAGAGCTTTGGTATTATTAATATGTCCGTTGCAGTGGAGCGTCATGTCCTAAAAGTAATTAATACAACTGTTAATTAAAAAAAAAACACCTTTTAAAATTACTGCTATCTATTAAAAAATTCTGAAAAACTAGACAAGTCCTTTAACTGCTTTTCAGCGTATCGCTAGTATTGTACGTGTGAATTCGAATAAGTTAACCCTTTTGAAAATAAATTCCGGTTGCGCCAAAAAAAAAAAGAAATACAAGTATTTTGAAGACATTAATAATTGCCCAAGACGACCAAAGATAAAATGTATTCATAACAATAATAACATCATTGTTGTTACATATTATCTAGTTATATGCCAGCTTTATTTTGTTTGCCCAAAAATCACCGGTTACGATATTATTACATAATATGTAACGCATTTTGCCAAAGAAGTATTATTTTTGTTAATTATTTATTTATTTATTTTGAGCTGCTCTCGCGTTAAGACTTTTTAATTATTATTTTTTTTTTTATATATATATATTATATAAATATACAATACAATATGCATGTATAATACCCCTATGTACATACCCCAATTTGTAAAATTTGTTTAATATTTTTGACGAAAAAATTCTATTATTAATTATATACCAAACTGAATATTATAATTTATATATATATATATATCTATATATATATAAATGACATTGTGATATTGTATTATAAAACAAATATATAAATATATTATATTTTACTGTCCATTCAGTTGATATGATGTCAATATATAATATATTATTATATAATGCTTTTTATTCGTATAAAATGTATTCGATTGTCGATTGATTGGTTTTAATTTTTTGTCTCCGTACAAAATTAACGCAAAAATAGCAGCAGCTATACTCTGACGTAGATTGCAAACTTAGGCTAATAGCGTTAACTGTGTATAATATGTATCACGGTCGGTGCTGTAGATTTTCCGAGTATTCGCGACGTTCCCCGTGTTCCTGTTGAATAAAATTATCCCTTAAAAACGCCTAAAGATATTGTTGGACGAAACGGTTTTTGTTGTGTCGAGCACTAAAACATAAGCGAGCGGATGGTGCACCACAACCGCAAAACTTAAACATAACAAACACATGGGCTCGTTTATGCAAAATAACTAAACCAAATATTATTTGGATAGATACACAGTACCTACCTATTATAAAAAACACACACACACACAAACAACAAAATCTGCTTGTAGTGTGTATAATATACAATATATAGGTAGTAATAATATATTCCATTTTATTATTTTTAACGAGTGCACGATCAATTGAAAGATCTATAGATGTACAACGTCACAATTAAAAAACGTCCATTTATACCAGCGGTGCCTGCCTCGTTGCATAGCAATTTACATTATATTAGGTCTAAGTGGAATTGATTATTGAAATCGTTTGTGTTCAGTAAATAAAGGTAATATCGAAATATTAAGTTTCTCTTGACTACAATAAAATTTAACAGCGCAAAATATCCTACGCTTGGACTAGAGATTTTCAATTAAAATAATAGATGTACAATTGTATTTGCATAACTCATGAAATCCATTACACTCAACATCGAGTGCACCTAATGCGGTACTATACAATTTCATTGGGACAAGCCCTCAGTCCGTCACAATATTTTATTTGGCGCGATTTTCACCATCTGAATTTTTATCTTCTGAACTATTCATGTCAGCTGTGAAGTATTTATGATTAATGCATCCGAAAGATAACCTTAGCCACGAATTTTCTTAACCAACCTCTTCTCAAAAATTATCAATGGGGACTAGGGTTCAAATCCGTTTGGTTTGCTAGGCCAACCCAACGACTCAATAAGTTTTCACCCAAATCTAGAACATAGAATCAGCTGACAAGAAGCATAATAATCAGCAGACATAAGTAATTCAGCAGATAGAAATTCAGCTGGTGAGTATTGCAACAAATTTCTAAATTTTAAAAGATTAAGGGCTTTCATCCCAAATAAAATTGCTCAGCACAATATATAAAGACGACTATAGTTATTTAATTATAATTAGGTTGTTGGTTATAACATAAAAGTGTTCAAATTAGAAAAAATTGTTTGATCACATTTTGAAAAAAAAAAAAAAAAAATACCCATTTGAAAAATGTAAAACGATTCCTTTCAATTTAATTAAGGATTCTAGACTTTAATCTTTAACTGAATTGTGTGATGAATAAGCTCCATGGATTACCATAGTAATTTTTTTTTATAGATGTATCCGACTAAGTGCAAAGTTTTTAGTTGAATACACAGTACGTAGTATACCATAAATAATGGTCTTTGTAAGGTTATAATGGAAATAATTGGTTGTTTAAATCAACGAGTAGCAGTAATTAAAACAATCAGTTGTGTAAAAATATCTTCATACAAAAACCATTACTGGTTGAGTACTTGACTCAGTTTGGTTTTAATTGCACTTATTGAAAACAAGTACCGTAATAAATAAACCACAGCACTAAACTATAGAAATAGGTGATTTCTATGTACATTTCTGCATCACGGTCAATTTAAATTAAATTACCTATATGTTATTTTTTTTTATGTTGATTGTTAGTTTTGTTCAAATGTATATCTATTAAAAGTGTACATATAAAATACAGATAACAAAATGTTGATTACTGCACGTAATCAAAAGATGCTTTACTACTTGTAAAACGATGTCATGTATACCACCTTTTTGGTTCCCAATATCCTAATCCCTTACAAATAGAGTCGGCGCGCCAATAAGATATACTTATTCTCCACAAACGTCTATTTGGGTGTCATCAATACAAAATATTGTCATAATAATGATAATATACTCAAGTACATATGCGTTAATGTCGTTCTACGCATGGCAAATATAAAATATTATGAGTTAACACTAAAATATTTTACAGGCTAAAAATATGTCTTTATATTGTGGTGTACTGTAATTAAATTTTACAATTTTATCACAATACTACAACAACGAAAATATTAATACATTTTTAACTGTGTTCATTAAAAATAATCAGAGATCTTATTTCGATGGGTATAGAACAAAATATAGATATAGCGTTTTGTATAGTTAAGTAAAATTATACCTACTCCGTTTTAGTAAATGACATAAAATGCCAAGAAGCAAACAAGTGGTCGTAAACTTCATACATTACTTCCCCGGAAACCTAGGTACATTCTTACAACGACATCGTTGCCCGACATACAAAATACTACCAAAAAGTGTTTTTTTTTTTTTTAGTTTAATATTTTTACAGGTCTAATATTTGCAAAGCAATTGAAACTAATGATAATTTTATATGCATTTTTTTTTGCTACCATAATTAATAATATGAATATGTTATTATTATTTTACCGCATTTATCGCTATGATGATGTGTTGACGTAATGGCTTTTGTGGTGTAACTGAATAATTATTATTATCGATTGTCCGGTGGGAAATGGAAAAAAACAACGGGTCATTGTATTCTCATTAAACAAAAAATTCCAACTGTTGATATAATAATAAAAAACAAATATTTTTTGATACAATTACTCAGGTATGAATTGACAGTTTACGGTACTTTCCTAACAACAACGAGGCAGTTTAATAAGAACAATACTATTATAATACATTAAATTAAAGATCATATGAAACATCATAAGATACAAATATTATGTTTAAAATCGGATTAATGTTTACTTTTTAAACTTGATAATGTATGAGCTAATAATATGTAAAAAGTTTTTTTTTAAGTGGTGCAAAATAAAAGAAGTACCGTAATATAATATTGTGTGAAAAATAATATGACACAATTTATAATAAACGGAACAAGCTGTAGATTAACTGGCGTTCTCCGTCGCTCATAACAGTAGCATGTAACCAAGTTCATTGTAAGTATAATTTACATTATTTTGTACTAGTTTTAAATCTGTAAAATAACCGTTAACAGTTTTTAATACACAATTGAAGTGTTAAAAGTTTGCCACTGTCCAGTTTTTGAAATTCACAATAGATAAAACATCAGGTACATGATAAATTATATACCATTGATGATGACTAAAACGATAGGTACATTCTTATTTTAATAAGCTTAACAGCACAATTTATTGTTAGAATAAATAAGTTTAGTAATTTTATTTAAGATTCTTTCTTTGAAGAAAGGATTGACAAAATTGTGTTAAATATTTTTATAAAATGTAGTTTATGTGTATTGCCATATGCAAGTAGTAGTATACAATCATATAAGTGGATAGCTCAGCTAATAGTGGGACAATACTCTTCTATTACCCTCCTTCACCTGTATGCCATATAATTGGTAATATTACTGTGTATTTGCTTAACGTTCTTTAGTAACTTATGTCATGTGCTGTAAGTATGTTATTTATTTCCCGTTATTCAATAATTCAATTTTTTTACCGCTTCTATATAATAGAGAAATAAAAGTAAAAGTTTGGCGAATACTCAACACTTAATATTCACCGAATGGAAAATCGATATCATTTTTTTTTTCATTATTAAAATATTATACGGCGCTAAATTATGACAAAAACGGAATAAAACTTTGTATCATTATAAAAGCTTTCGAAACGTAAACTCTTGGCTTTCTTACTTACTGTTTGAAAAAATAATATTATAAACTTCCAAAGATGGCCAAACAAATGGAAATCAAAACACATTATATTTTGAAATATAAAATGCATTGTAAAAAACATCTCGCCTACTATTAAAAATGGAACTCTGTTGTGCGGAACCTAGATCACCTTTAGATACCTTTTGTCAATACTGCGTAACATATAAGGGGGGGGGGGGTGGTATAATATAGCTGTAAGTTTGTCCATACGTCGGCATCGTAGCCGTTACAAACCGTTTTGACTATTGTTTTTTTTTTTTTATACAACTTAAATCGGTTTTTACTTTAAACCACGTTTACGTGTTACTGCCGTGAAGGTTAGACGTTCGGTAAACGGTTGGAACACACCATTGGTCTTCTCGGTAACGGTAAAACGGTTTATAAATACGGATGAAAACTACTTTGGGGCATATAAACTTAAACTTTTATGGTTAGCGCAATAAAATGCCGTACTACTACACGACGAGTGCAATCGGAGGAGGTGATGCATCTTGTTTTTTAACTTCGACTAAAAGCTGTGAAGGTATTGTTTTTTTTTGGGGGGGGGGGGGGTACGTTTAATGGGCAACACACAACGACGGTGCGTTATAGCAATTACGGCAAAATCGTTTAACCGTCAAATGCACAGTGTTTTACTACATCTCTTTCTGTTTCAATCCGGTTAAATAAATATAATATAATAACAAGAAGCAAGCCGAACTCCGAATGTACCTTCGATGTGAACGGCGAACATCATCGAATATGTCTGTCGTGGAATCAATAGGGGGTAACCCACGTACATGTGTCTTTGGTCGATTCCCAAGCAAGTCGACCGGGCCAAATTGTGTATTGATTCGCTCTACTTGTGTCCATTTTTGATTTCTTCAATGTCGCACGTAAAACTTCGAGAGAGCGAACGGCAAAAATGAAAAAAAAAAAAAAAACATACACCGGTATTAATTTATT